TCTAGACTTGCCTACACTCATGATTAGTACTCAAAACAGAAATCACAAAAATAGAGTTAAAGGTAAAGCACTCCCTCATGTGTTTACACTCCTTTACCACTCCTTGCAATTCCTCCAATTGTACTTCAGAATTTTAGGCCAACCAACCAACTCAAAAGAACGTTTAGAAACAAATAATAAACCTTAACAAAGAAAAAGTAAGCACAAATTCTAGAAAGAAGACTCAAAACATAAATGGATGGTACCACAAGGACAAGACTATGTACTACTTGATTATATCAACTTAGAGTGTAGACAAAAGCAAGCACACTCTAGCAATGTAAAAGAAGGAAAGAAAGCACAAAAAAATAAAGAAAATGAAACTAGAATTAAGAAGACGATTTTTGGATATAATGGATGAACTTAGTTCACTACAAAGCAAACCAAATATGGACCTAATTTAATCTACCCAAACAAAGCAAGCAAACAACAAAAACCTAAAATAAAATTCAGATTTGACACAAGAAAATTTATAGTGGTAGCCAAAAATCACTCAAAACCATGAAAAGTATATGATTTGACCAAGAAATATTCTGCCTTATCCCACAAAGTATAACCCAACTTTAGATAGTTATAGGCCTTAACAAGAAGAAAAAGTGGATAAGTTTAGGCTCCAAACAGCCTAAAAGGTGATTAATAACTAGTTGATTAATAACTAGTATAAATTCACAATAATTGTAAATAACTATTTCTTTTTTTATTTTTTAATTCTGATTCGGAAGACCTAAAGTCACAATTCCAGATTTCTCTTCTTTTTATTATATTTATCAAGAAGAGAAGGAAGAAACAAGAAGACACAAACATTCAAAATTCAGAATTAGAATTAATCAAATATTAAGGCAAACACCAAGAATTCAAGAAAAACAAGAAAACTAAAAAAAAAAAAAAAAAAAAAAAAAGCACCAAGAATTCAAAGAAAAACAAGGAAAACTAAAAAAAAAAAAAAAAAAAAAAAAAAAAAAAACCTAGAACTAAGATAAAAATAATTTACCTTAACTTTGGCTCTGATACCAACTGACATGAAACCCTATGGAAATTAATCCTAAAGAACTCTATGACAAGATGGAATAGCTTCAAAGATCAAACTAAATTCTTTCTCTATAGCACCCTACGCTTAAAGAAGCAAGAACACCAATAATAGAATACGAACAAGATAAACGCCACAATTAGAATTGATAAGTCTACCTTCATTCTTGATGCAATTAAAGGAAAGCAATCTCACAATCACTCTAATCAAAGAACATGCAAAGCATGAACAAATTCTGAAATTTCAATATGATGTCAATTGTGTGTTTAACAAAGATAACAAAGCATTTTATACTAAAACTTACATTTTTTTATTAAAATATAAATAATAAATTTCATATAAATAAGTACACTAATATTCTATGCTAATTAATTAATTATACAAACAGTAACATTCATCATCTGATCAAACAAAGTAAGCCATTCAATCACAATAATTATTTTTTCAATTGATGTAAAAAAATTTTGTTGATTTAAGTAAATTAAAATAATAAATTTCATATAAATAAGTACACTAATATTCTATGCTAATTAATTAATTATACAAACAGTAACATTCATCACAATAATTATTTTTCATTGATGTAAAAAATTTTGTTGATTTAAGTAATTAATTTGGAAACTAAAAAAAATATTAAGGATGTTATTGTTGTTTTTAATTGCTTTTGGTATAATAATAATAATAACTAATGTTACTACTAGACTTCAAAAAAAAAAAAAAAATATCATTACTAGTTTGAAATTTTCCAAAAAAAAGGAAAAAAAAAATTATAAACTAATGTCATTATTGATTAAAAAAAATAACGTTGTTAAACTTTGAAATTTTCCAAAGAAAATAAAGAAAAAGGAAAATAAAAAATAGTTGAGGTTATAGTAGAGGGTAATTTTGTCAATAAATATTTCAATGGTCAATTTTGTGGAATTCATTTATAAATTCCATCAATTTAGTAAAATTTGAGTTATGCATACCCAATTTCATAGGATTCAATTCGTAGAATTCAAATCTATATATTTTTTTTTTATTTCAAACACAACATTTTGAATTTTCAAATGAATTCCACAAAATTAACCATTGAATACATTTGTTCCAAACCAGCTCTAAAAAGTATAATTAGTATGTTATCTGATCTATAACATATTAGGAGTAAGCCATGTTGGATCTTATAGGAGGACACAAATACATTAATTTAGAAAATCTTATCTATTCTTGCTAGATAAGGAGACTGGTGTCACATTATTATGTGGATTATTAATTTAAAATTCCATTATTTAACGCAAGACAATTAAATAATATTTAATATATGAATAACAATACTTTAATTATTTATTAAATATATTTTTAAGTTCTTCCTTATGTTCCTTAATTTTTTTGTCCTAATACTAATAATTCTTATATGAAAACATAGAAAAAAAATATTACGTTACATAATAAATTTTTTTTTAAATCTATTTTCACGAATAGTATAATGATCCATTTTTAAATAACTTACCACTTGAAATGACGGATTATGCATAATTTTTATAATTTTACATTTAAACTTAAAGTCATCTACAAGCATTTCGAATTAACCCTGCCAAAATGGACCCCAAGTAATTTATAAATTAAGTAAAAGTATAATAAAACTAATAATTACTGTTGAAAATATTTCGATCCCTAAGTTAAATTCCTGATGACTCCACAACTAATCGGTCCATGCAAACTATAGCGCATCACTCTTTGGCTTCTGCCAACTCAAAATTATGGAAAAATTGACAAGGAAGAAAGTGTTTGTGAGAAGGTAAATGGCTTTGAAATGGCCGAAAATAAATTATTAATTAACTTCAGTTTCTCCCTCTAAAACCTTGTTGATTTAACTTTCTTTATTGGAATTTCTAGAATTTTATTGTCCTTGAAATCTTTTTTTTTTTCTATCTGCAAAGACGAATTTTTATTCAAGAATTAAAAGAAATAAAAATACATTCAGAAAAGATCAACTAACTAGGTTTCTACACCCACGCCATTAGGTTTTTCCCAATATACCCTATCATATCCTGGAAAATTAAGTAAAACCTGAACCCATATCCAATAAATAATCAAAATATAAGAGCAATATAATTTTATAACATGCCAAAAAAAGTATTTTAGCCGTTACTTCTTTTTTAACCAAAGAATCTGCAAATTAATTTCTTTCTCTCTTTATATGACATAACTGAACTTGAGATAAAATATTAAGTAAGAGATCAAATTTATTAAATTTTTTCTACCATTCACATAGTCTTTTATTTTTATTGATAACTCAGGTAATAGTATTCCTTGAATCAGACTCAATAATCAAAGGGCATATATTATATTGCTATTAATAGAATAGTTCTACCGCATTTAGGATAGTTAAGAATTTAGCCTAATTTGAGTCCATAACCCGTCGCAATCAGATTTATTTATATAGTTAGTTGCAAAGCTGCTAAACATTACAACAAAAACTACTGTACAGTCGAATACTTGTTAGTTACATTAAATTCACCACACCAAATTAGGGTAGAAGAAATCTCACAACATAAATACAAATACGAATTTTCATCTGTCTAGCTTACGACTGAACTACTAGCTTGCCATGGGGCCGTCTATCCTGTCATTTGTCTTTCCATTTTCTTGTCACTCATCTTATATTGCCTCAATCCGTTTAAACAATAAAATGAATTAGATATTTTATTTTTAAGTTAAATAAAAAAATTATTTAAATATAATTTGAATATAAATATTTATCCATTAAAGTGAGACTAAATTTTCAATTTTTATAAAAACAAATACACTTATGATGAGGTCCAATAATGATTTGGTTATGTTGAATAATTTTTTTTTTCTTTTTTGTGTGACCATGAGTTAGAATTTTTCTTGTGCAGTAGAGCATAAAGATTTGTTTTTTTTTAAGTTTGATTAAGGGTGTCCTCTCATCTCCGGTTTAACAGTTAAATGAAAGACTAATCATTTTCGATTCCCCAAGATACTGACTTCACAAATTGATCTTATGATCACCATGGTGAGATTTAATGTACTTCAATCATTAGATCCAGCTATCTTGGATAGAGTATAAAAATTTTTAGTCCTCCTAAAAGATGTTTATGAAAATACTATATGAGAAAGCGTCAAATACATACGTGCAAAGAAAGAGAAAAAAAGGACAGCCATTTGAATACTTCTATGTGGTTTAAACTTTTATCTTTCCACCAATGTTTGATATTCTATCACTACAAAACTGACCTTATCAATGAGTTTAAAATAACAGGGTAATTGTGGTTGATCAGAAAAACTTCCAAGCGTAATCCAACTGAATCAAGCAGCAGGATAGCTTGTATTGAACTGCGCAGTCATTGGGCGTCTCCACCTATATTATAAGAGAGAGCCATGAAGGTTCCGTAAGACGAAAGCAATTGAATTTACAGAGGACGCGTATCAAATATCCCACAGTTCGTTCTATGGTATACGCATTGATCAACATTCACTGCCAAATGACTTAAAGGTGAAGGCTATTATTTCTTTTCCATCAGTACATGAGGTCAACTCGTTTGTTCATTATATACAAGGCGGTGAGTTATAATGACATTTTTAGAATTATTTCAAAGTGGATTTATGTTTGGGAAGTAGATAAATCTTTCTCTATTTTAATCAGCTATGTTTAATCTGTCTAAGGATTTAATTAACTATATCCACCCATCTAATGATTAAATAAAATATTTATATTTTTAGATTTTAGAATGATTATATTAAAAACGCATTTTAAAATACTCATAATTCCATCCTATAAAATAAAATTTAATAAATTTAACCATTAGAACAAACTATCTTTTACCCTCTAACTTATATTTCTCACTGGGCGCCTATTTCAATTCTTTATGGCGGTTGATAAACACCGCTATTGTGTGCGTATATATACGGATGCCCTTTTCGCTCCCAAATGATTTCCTAGAATTCTCTCTCTATATTACATAAAGATAGAGAGAGAGCTGCAGCCTTCAGCTAATTGACTCCGCAAAATCCATATCCTGTTTCTTTTATATCATAATTACACACCCAACCATGGCACCAAGCCTAGCTATTGACTATGCCTACAAAACAAGGGCACCCTCTTCCCTATTAAGCTCTCTCTTCATGTCGACGCTGAACGTGGCTGCAAAAACACTTGTTTCCGTGGCTTCAAATATAAAAGTAGAGTATTACGAGAAATGGAGAGCAAGAGACCATTTGAGGTTCATGGCGATGTTAATGACTTGGGTTACAGTTTGGGTGTTTAGGGTTATGATGGATCATTTCCCAAGTGTTATGCGTATCTCTCCAAGTTACCTTGGACGCTTTTTGCCTGCCAAAACCTCCACCTTGGCGTTGCCACCGCCGTCAATATCATCTGTTGTAACGTTATCGTCGTTATCAACTTCTCCTTCTTCCTTGGATCTGATTCTTAAAGACGATTTCGATGGCCATTCTGTTCAGGCTCTTGGCAGAGCTCTTACGCATGTAAGTATCCATAATCATGTATAATAAATAGTATTAGTTATAAAAAATGAGTATAAATTAATTGAAATAAGGTCACCGCTTGGTGTGATTGGCAGTAACGAAATTGGAATAAAAGCTCCAAAAGTATATCTTCCACGTGTGAAAAATTAATGTAATACAGGAGAGGGGATAGCTAGCATGCCCCCACCTACCTGTGTTTGAATCACCAAATAACATGTGTGTCTCGAAAACCTCCTGTAATGATTTGTAAAGCTTCCCCTTCACTTCATCACAAAATTAATGATAACTGATATTTGAAAATGACCATTAACCACTTATCAACACTACATATTTTCATTCTATTGATAGGATTAGGATGTTTGAATGTACGATTACGAAGTAGTTATCTTGCTAAATTAGGAAAATTCTAATTTCGATATCTGTCTATTTTATGTTCTGCTTCTATATATATATTCATGGCATTCTCCTTCATTGGTCTCTTTCTTTGCACCGCATCTGTTCCTGTGCTCGTTGCTCTTTTGCTTCGACTTATTATTTGCATAGTTGTTCATTCTCGCCCTTTGCTTCTGCTAGGAGTCAGCTCATTAGTAGAGTGAGTAAGCCTAGCGGTCATCCGATGATGCATGGCCCAGTACAACTTCAATCATCAGCCGTTCAAAGAGGGGTGCTTTCGATCATATCTCAGAACGATTGTTATCGGCCGTGAAGTGTTATTGATAATCAAATCGTTAGTCGTTCTGTTCCCTGTTATCAACCATTCTCTTTACCCTCTCCTTTTCTCTTGGATTCTGATTCTTTAAGACACGGAACGAGGTGTTTTTTATATCGACTGGCCATCCTTATTGTCCCTGTCAGCTGAACTTTCAAGACATTTAACTTATCCTATTTCTCAATTTTTGTTGCTAATTAAAATTAATAATTTTTTCTCTCATCTTCTATTTTATTCGTGAGTATGGATGAGAAAATAAGTTTTAATAAAATAATTTTATGTTATTGTTGGAAGGACCATTTAATGGTTTTAAATGAAATGTAATTTAGAACATTTAATTTTAGAAAATAATTGGTCGTGCGTCATTTTTTTAAACCATGATCATTATATAGAATTTAAATCAAGGGAGCGAAGCAAGGTCGTATTGCGTGGAGTTCATAAAAAAAAATATTAAGTATAAAGTCTGGAATGTGATTTGCTATTGGGAAGTATATGTATGGGTATGAGGCAGATCAGGATAGGCTAGAGTTGTCTAAGGCATTATGAGAAAGAGTAAAGGAAGTGGACAGAGGGAAAAGTGTTGCAGAAGGAGTGTAGTGTATGAAGAAAGAGTCAAGAGATTAACTATCCTCAATCAACTGCGAGCACGAAGATGGCCAAGAACTCTGTCTGATCAACCGGCCACAAGCCAGAGCTAAGGTGTATCAGTTACGAGCATGTAGTTAGCATCTGATAGGTTATGCAGATTTATGTTACGGTGTTGGTATATGACATATAAAAGGATGAAAGACACAATCTAGGAAAGGGGAGGTTAGTCCATTAGGATTGTCTCGATTACTGATCTTGTGTAGTGTTGTGATATGTCTTGTTGTTTAATAGGATCCAACTTAAAGGTGTTAAAGTTCTTCACTCTTGGTAGAGCTTGTATGATGGCGTGAATCAGATGCCAATGTTCTAGTGGATTAGCTACGATGCTGTCAGCAGAGATTAAGAGGAATGGTATTAATTATTGTATAGTTACGTCGCCTGATTGAAAGCTATTAACCGATAAAAGTGAAGAGCTTTGTGAGTGTATATAGGGATGTTGAATTGTGTGGATATAGATTGATTATTATTTCAAGTGGAGTAAATTGATAAATATATTTAATATTTAGAGATAGGTTTTCGGATAGATAGCAGATATGGGGCCAGAAAAAAAATGTACAATTGCCACAATAGGCAATTGCATCGTGGATGAGCTTTACACGGAGTCGCTAATTTGTCTAACGCAGGAACTATATGAAGCGAAACTCTACATATTCTTGTGCGTTTAGGGTTGAATTCAACAGTTAATCTTGTCGCAGCAGAAACGGTGGAGAGCATCGATAACAGCTAGTTTATGTGATGATAGAATGAACTATGGTATAAGTTCTGGACATATATTAGGATATGAATAAAAAGTGTACTTCACCTCAAAAATAAGTTATATATATTATTCATTATTATATATATATAGTGATATCATATCCAGTTTCCACACTGTTATAGAGATAAATAGTAAATTTAGATTAGGAATAGTAACTAAATAAGCAGCACGAGAGGGGCAGGGTGCGAAGTAGGAGAAGACCTCGTTAGACAATGAATTTGATTCCCTTCTCTACGGCACTAGCTCGTACGTTTGTCTTATACAGAATTCATCCAAAAGTTCAAAAAGTTCTATGGAATGGATGCTAAATAGTATTCTACTCTCCGAGTGAATGATACTTGGTCAGAGTCTAATGTAAAAATCATTTTGCATACCATATGTTAAATATAACATTGCAGATTTGTGTGTTATAGTTGAGATCTCGATTTGCTTCTCTGCACTCTTCCTCATATGTACAATTACAACTAATTCCAAATTATTCTGTGAGATGTGATATTTCTACAAACAAACTAGTACGTCCAGATTGGGGCTTTGGACTATATGGTTAATTTGTACTGCAGATTGGTAGTTCATTCGACAGTTTGAAATTTAATAATGAAGCGAGTATTAAATTTTAATTTAAGTGAATCTTATATTAATTATTATGTTAATTTTAAATATATAAATAATAGATGCATATATCATAAGTTGTAACAGTGATTCTAGTATAGGAGGCGAGATTCGCTAAGACTGAATTACGTAGCTTTGATTTGTACATGGTTAATTCTTCTGGTTGAAAAAATAATTTCACTATTACGTACAATGAAACAAATTGAGATATATTATTTTCTAATTAAGAAAAACACTACAGCAAATTGTGCAACCTAATAAAAAAACCGTTAATGTAGAAACATAGACGAAGTGTCAATGTTAATTTCTTATTCCCATTATCACGACCATGTAAATTTTTCATCTCTAGCAGGACGCTTGAGGCGATAGGAATTTAGGCATGTTTGAATGTTACGATGTTAACGAGTCAGTTTATTCTTGGCTATTAGGCAAAAAATTTCCTTAATTTCGATTCTGTCTCATTTACTGTTCTGGGATTTGTTCCGCTTCTATATATATATATAAATAAGTCTTATAGTATAGTATAATAGCGCCATGAGGACGTCTCATAATGTTGGGGTACAGGTGGGGCCGTGAGTGTGGGATGAGCGTATAGGGTTAGCGTAGTATGTAGCGTAGTTAATTTAGATACTATATATATAGTAATTTAGATTATTAAAAAAAAAAAAAGAAAAAAAAAAAAGAAAAGAAAGGGAAGTTCATGATATTTTTTAAAAACTCTATAACAAATAATTTGATATTATTATGCATAAAGACGATCAATACTGCATCGTTTTACTTGGGAGTCTAATGAAATCTAACGATAGGATGGATATTGAGAGCAAGTGAGATCTTATTAAACATACACGTTTCTTGCCCCCTTCCAAAACTCACTCACAGGTGGTTTTCATGCATAGTTCCATACTCTAAATTGTGCCACGTAATAACTTCCCTTACAGGCACTTTCCTTGTTTTTGCCCTTTTTCAAAAAAAAAAAAAAAAAAAAAAAAAAAAAAATTAAAAAAAAATCATGTTCTCGTTTTTGATTTTTTTAAAAAAAAAAAAAAAAAAAAAAAAAACAGTTTTTGATTTTTTTACTAATATTTATTTAATCTTTACTTTATTTTTAACTTATTCTTATTGTTCAATTCATTTCCTAGATTTATAAAATCATTTTTTGTAAATATAATTAAAAAAAATTGCATATTTTATTTTCATGGAAACTCGAATGGATGTGGTGCAGGTGCTTGCATTGCTGAACGAGATACCGGCAACCTCAAGAAAGTACCAATTTGCAATGGCAATGGCCGATAAGATCATGGACGGGAACTTCCGAAACGGCCACATTGAACTCATAGAAGTGAATCGGACGGCTCTCTCTTCAGCTTTTGCTCGTACATTAAGCCTTCTGAATCGATCTCTTCAGCTGACGCAAGGCTCATATGATTCTGGTGCGTGGACTTCACGCATCCTCAGTGCACTGCCGATGGGATCTTACTTATCATACTACGTTAAGGGGCTAAATCACTGCGTAAGAACCGTCTTACAAACTGTGGCGAAAGGCACGTGGCAGTTGGAGAAGAGGCGGCAATTGGTTTATGAGGGTGCGGACGATGTGGTGGCAGAGAAGTTGGCGCAGGAATTGCTTTGGATAACGAACAAACTTAGGGCTTACGGTGCTGTGGACGAAGCCATGGTTCAATGGAGTTATGCCTCTGCTATTGCTTCTCTCGCTTTCAGCGCTAACCCTAGGGTCCAGGGCTACCTTGTCAAGATTTCAGGTCTCTTCCTTCTTCTCGCTATGATTTTAAGTATTAACAAATCAATTTCAGGCACTTCTAACCCAGATGTTGGTTTTGTTACGTGTAGCTATATTAATTGGAGATCTGACGAACAACAAGGTTGAGGTCTCAATGCAAGTGATGTTCAGATTATTAGTACTTTGGATTCCATTGTTTTGCCATGCAAATAATGGACTGTCGTATCCATTCCTGACGAGCTTCGAGAAGATGGAAGTGGAAAGCGCAATAGATGAAGTGATATCCATATTACCTGCAACTGATCAAGAAGTTATTCTAATAAATTGGTTGCAAGATTTCACCGTATGTGCGTCAGATTGGCCAAATCTCCAAGTATCTTACGATCGTTGGTGCAGATGCACTCGTCAGCTTGCTGCGTGAATTTAAGTTTTAAAATGTGTCTTTACGTAGGTGTATTATTGTTGCTTTGATCTATTTGAAGAACTACAAAATCTTGGGTTTAATTTCTTTGATTAATAAGTCTGAAAAGAATGTTGTACTTTCCTTGATTGGGTTGGAAAATTGAAAATTCTCTATTACATGGGGCGGTTTCTGCGTAAGAGCTGAGCTGAGCTGAGCTGTATACGAGTTATTTGGGGCTCAGCTTAATTGGTGCATTTAGTAAAGGGAATTCAGTTTAGATTCATAATGAGATTTGACGGGCATTTTTATAAAATACAGAAAAAAAATTATCCGAAAAGGTGCAATTTTAGAAGTATTAAGGTGGATTTTTTTAGGAAATTGGTGTTTAGAAAAAAAAAAATTTGTGTAAATGGTGTTTTTTAAAAAGTATTTATGGGTGGTGTTTTGTTAATATTTCAAAGGCATTTGTTACACTTTTGAATGTAATAAACGAATAGTTACACTTTGAATTTGACTGTACTACTAAAAGCATTAAGTTTTATTTTTTTTAAGGTTGTTGAATAGTTTTGTCGGATAAATATTTATCTTTCAACCCTAAACCCTTATTAAATGTCACTTATAATGGAATAATGTTAGAATATATTCTTTCCTAGCATAATAGAGATCTTCAGGTAAAATTCCTCACAAATTCATATGTGCTAGGTGCAATTATTACACTGAGAGGTAACAAATTTATAAAGAAAGATTATAGGAAAATGTGTGATTGTTACTTACACTATAAGTGTAACAACCTACGAAGACAATACAAATTGTTTCATTGTTAGTGTAACAATATGTTTTATTTATACAATTTAAACTATGCATGTAAACGAAAAATGAAAAATGAGTGATTTGATGTATGAAATTCTACGAGAGATGGTATTATTATTAAGAGGAAAGATATTGTTATGTAACACGTGATAATATTAAGGGGGAAAAGATATTTGGTATGATTGTGGAAAGAATCTATGCGATACTATTTGTGAATGTTTGAAACTCAAAATGATTATAATGTATAACAATACTTCCTTCTCGTGAGTCTTTGCTTTTCTTTTTCATTTGTCCTTCCTTTATATTTTAACTATGCTCAGTAAACTATAACTAGATATATTTATACTTAACATCCTAAATTACTTCATATTGCTCAACTCATTTGAAGATTTATATATTTAGTAAGGTTTAAATTTCTTTTTTTTTAATATATAGTGTTTGATATTTGTTAATTAAATAAATACCTTATTATATTCAGATTTGATTTTTTTTCTTTTATATTGTAATTGTTTTGTTTTAGACTTCACATTAAAGTAAAAATGATCATCTTATTTGAAGGTAAATACTTATACTTATTTGTTAAAGTCATTTTAATTTAATTTCTTATTTTGCTTTATTTTTTCAAGAATTAATTGCCTATCCCAGTGTGCTGTTATTTTATTAAAGAAAAAAACGAAAATATAATTTTCATGAATAAATAAAGTAAATTATTTTTTATTTTTGGACGAGGCTATATTGTGTAGTATCTTAATAAACCTTAAAGGTGATATTAGGGGTTGTGATTCGTTCACTGTACTCGACTGTTTGGACCTACCACTAATATACACCACCCACAAGTCAAGTACTTTTTGGTACAACAAAAGAATTGGCACAATCAGTTTTACCATTACGCTTGGACCCAATGCAAATGGGAGGAAACAAACAATTCTCGCTTATGGAACCTAAGAGTTAATAAACCCGACCTAAGTTTATATAGTCGACCCTAGTTCCTTCCTCTAGGATCAACTTAATAAAGTTTTGATTGTTGCACTCATCTAATAAATGCAAGAGACGTCGGTCCAAAACTCTATGATGGTTTATGGGCCAACTTATATGTCCTAGGGTTTAGAAGAGACCGTACCTTGAGTTGTGTGTGGGAGATATAAGGGGGAAATCATGCATTTTCCAACTCCTTTCCCCTTTATTTGTATATAATTGCTATGATTGTGTTGTGCTTCATTCATGCATCATTTAACTTATTTTCTTGTAGCCATTTAGGTATATTCCATCATAGCTCGCTCTAGAGAGCTAAAAGAGCTAAAATGAGCTAAAAGAGCTCTTTCCAATAGTGACTGTAAGACCGAGGCCCAAACGCCTAAGAAGGAAGCTCCTCCGATTCCAACTCCGATGAAGGAAGACCAATTAGAAGAGGCTCATCAACTCTTGCTCGAAATAAAGCAATCATAACTCGAAGCCACGACTCTCTTTCAAGGTGTGGAGACGCGATTCACGCTCATGCACAATATTGCCAACCACCTTGTTGACATTGGTCACTTCACTCTAGACGTTGCGAAGCCATACCACACCTCTTAAGCTTTGAGATTCAAAAATTATAAATATTTAGTTAGGGCTTCAAAAAGAATCGTTAATGTAAAAAGTTCACTTTTGGGAGAAGCAATGAAAGAATCTATTTTGGAGCCAAACATTATTAATGCTAAAAAGAAAAAAAAAGAAAAATCTCAAGTGTATATAAATAAAGAACCTGCTTAAGTATTGTCACGCTTGAGGCAAAAAGTAAGGGATACAAAAAATAAGAAAAATAAGCAATAAGGTCATTATAAATGTTTGGTTATGAAATAGGGCGTGTTATGCTCCTAAACAGTTCTTGAGAAACCTTTCTTCGATTTTGGATTTGTGCAATCGCGATAAAGCCACGATGGAATATAGCATTAGTCACATTTCATGATTTTGTGATTGTATGTCATTCCATAAGCACGCATTCATGCATACATGCATCATGTCATGTTTTTGTCATGTTTTCTAAACCTCATTTTGTGCAGTCAAGATGGCACCGTATAGAGAGAAGGTACCAAAAATAGTCAGTTGGTTAAGGACAGACAACCGGTTGATTAAGAGTTGAAGAGCCTTCAACCCTGATAAAGGACTGGACCCCTAACTTCACCCCAAAAGCTAGCTCATAGGGGAAGACTGAACCCAGCCTTATACACTAGCCCAAGATGTACTCCGCGGGCGATGTGGGACGCATCATCGGACGCATCATCCTTACCCCCATAAGACCCAACTGCCTCAGTCGGCGTTCTGACGAACCCCATGAGACACCAACCCTACGAAGCCAGAGCTATGATACCAAATGATAAAGGACTGGACCTCTAACTTCGCCCCAAAAGCTAGCTCATAGGGGAAAGACTGAACCCAGCCTTATACACTAGCCCAGGATGTACTCCGCGAGCGATGTGGGACACATCAAACCCCCTCTGATCTACCAAGCTCAGTATCCTCTAGTCTGTCAGGCTCCTGTTTCAAGATTGAAAACTATTTGGTTCGAACAGATTCGCCAGTTTTAGTCTCTACTCTTAGTGATAAAATGGCTGAGCCAAGCATTCCTGTTTCTAAAATTTAAAAGATGATTGAGAAAATAGTGGCATCTAGCCTTGAGAAGCTCGTGAGATCTGATAAGGGAAAAGAGAAAGTGGTGATCGAGGATAACAAAGAGGCTATGGATGAGTCCAAAAAGAAGGAACATGTTGACGACACTTGGCAAGACGATGAGTTTTTTTTAAGAAAATGTATGCTAAAAAGGTCGAGTCTAGGCCGATTGTCTCGGAAAAATTCAAGAAACTTGATAAGGAGCTCGAGAAGTTGCATGTGTTTATGAGATCCAAGGGAATGGACCAGTATGTCAACCTCGATGATGATGATGATGAGGAGTTAGAATTAAAGTAAGCTATCCCTGTGACCTACAAGATGGAGGAGTTAGAATTAAAGTAAGCTATCCCTGTGACCTACAAGATGCCAAAGGTGGTGAAATATGATGGCAACAATGACCCAAAGGTGCACCTCATGCAATACAAGTCTATCATGGAGTTGGTGGGTCTCCCGTCAAGGGAAATTTTGAAAATGTTCCCAATGTCCTTAACAGGGTCTACCCAAACTTGGTATTACAATCTCAAGAAAAGGGTAAGAAGATATTGGAATGAGCTAACAACGGTTTTCCTCAAGGAATACACTTATGATCTCCAAATGAGTGTCAATTGGTGAGATTTAGAAGCAATTGTGCAGAAAAATGATGAGACCTTCACTGGTTATATGGCTAGATGGAGAGCCAAGGTCACACAAATGAGGAACTTTCTAGATACCAAGGAACAGATCAAGATATTCATTAAGGGGACTCTGCCGACCTTCCGTGAAAAGCTGTATTACATGCCGTTAACTGAATTTTATCAAGTTTATGAGGTGGGGACCACCATCAAAGATAAAATAAGGAAAGACAAGAAGTATGGGAATCGCACTGGAAGTTTCAATAAGTCCAGGATCTAAGGGTCCAGTCAGTCAGCTAAGACTCCAAGCACCATTAAGAACACAACAACAGCTGCTCTGGATTTGAGAGCTACTAATATGACTCCAAGGAGATTCTCCAACTTTGGCACCCCTCTCCAGAGTGTTCGAGAGAGTGAAAGCAGTGGGTTTGTTGAAACCGCTTGCACCGAGACCTCCTCCTGTAATTTTGCCAAAGAATATCGATCAGAAAGCTTATTGTTACTTTCATCAGAGTAAGGGTCATACAACTGATAGTTGTATGAGATTGAGACATGAGATCCAAGATCTGATCGATAGTGGCAAAGTGACTGATCCAAAAAAGTCAAGGCCAAGCACGAGGACTAATCCACATTTGAACTTTAGAAGCATGCCGCCTTCTATGAACTTATATATGGTTGAGTCTGGAACGACTCCCTTGGAGGTGCTGACTGAGTTTGAAGAGGAGGAGGAGGAAAGAGAGAGGGAGATGCTTTTAGAGCAAATTTATGTGATGATGCTCAATGTCTGGGATAGCGATGAGGAATGGCTAAAACAGAGCGAACAAGTCTGGGTGGGTAGTGATGATGAGGTAGAAGTGAATCCCGTTATTCTGGATGTATAAAATAGCGAGAATGAAAAAGAAGCAAAAGTAGTGAATCATAAGACCCAGAGTGATCGAATTTATCAGCCGAATGTAATCAGGCCAGGGGAAGAAAATGAGAAAGCAAGCTCTTCGGATGCACCGAAAAAAGAAATAGAAGATGATGCTTTAATGAGATAGCTGAAAAGAACCCATGCAAATATAAGCATGTGGGACCTGTTGGTATCTTCTAAACAACACTCTGAAGCTTTGCTGAAAGCCAAGGTAGAGATTCTGGTTTCATCATCCATCTCTCTAGCTAATTTTGTAGGGATAGTGCAACATGATCCCCTCACGATCACCTTTTCGGATGATGAACTTCCTCTCGAAGGAAGGAATCATACAAGGCATAGTTCATAAAGGCTGAGGTTAGAGGGAGAGTGACCGAAAATGTAATGATAGACGATGGGTCTGCTCTGAATGTGTGTCTGTTAAAGCTGCTTTCTAAGTTCAAGCTAGAATTGTATGATTTGGAGCCTTTAGATGTTATGATTAGAGTATTTGATGACTCAAAGAGACAAGTAAAGGGCATTTCAAAATTGTGATCAAGGTGCGGCCGATTGAAAAGGAGACTAAATTTATCGTCATCGATATTCCCTTAACTTTCGCCTTACTACTTGAGTGCCCATGGTACCATTCCTTGGGAGGAGTGCCTTCAATATTGCATCAAAAGATAAAATATCCATTTAATGGGAAGGTTATCACCATACCTGCTGCTAATGAAAGAAGCGTAGCGATGCTAAATGTGGATAAACAGGTTATACTCTCATCGATTGGTTTTTATGTTGTTGTATTGAGCACTGACATGGAGCCCACTATCTCCAACATCATGAAGAGGATGAATTATAAGGAAGGAAAAGGACTTGGAAAGAATCAATAGGGCATCACCAAGCTACCTGAAATCCACACTCAAAGAAACCGCATGGGTATAAATTTAGGAGCACACCATCGAACACATACAACTGGTTGGACATGGATGGATGAATCGCCTGATCGAGTGAGCATTCCTCTCCATGTCTACCAATAGAGCCTTTTCAGCACAAAGGAAAGACATGCCCTGTTATAGAGATCGTCGCTGATGTTATTGATATCTTGGCAGTTGAGCCTAAAGAACCAAGAAGCTTAAGGAAGAGAAAGAATAGAAGGAAGAAGAGAAGACACCCGAGAAAGAGGGGGTTGAGGGGCCACAAACGGCTGAGGAAGAAGGAAAGAAAGAGAAGCAAGAAGAAGGACAAGCTGCCTAAGAAGAACAAAAGGAAGAGAAGAATAAAGGGACGGCAGTGCCGAAGAAGAAGAGGACCCCATGGATAATAAAGGGACGGCAGTGCCGAAGAAGAAGAGGACCCCATGGATCAAGTGCTAAAAGAGGTCGGAGCCTGCATAGAAGAGAGTTTTGAAGAAGTTGAAGTCCCTTTTGATGTGTTAATTTTGGTTAAGGACGAGTCCGATTGTTATGAACTTTCTGTGTTGTTTAATGAGATGAACTTTAATTTTGCTTACTTGTTTGATGTCTTTCCTAGTGGTTCCATTCATCAAGTAGATTAGCACATGTGCATATTTGACATTAACTCATCATGCATGCAGGAAGTTAATATTGGCATAAAAGATAATCCACAAATTCTATTAATTGGGCCAAACCTAACGCTAGAGTTAAACACAAAATTTCAAAGTCTACTCATGGACAAAAAGTCTACTCATGGACAAAAAGGAAGCCTTTGCAAGGAGTTATAAGGATATGCCAGGGATAGACAGATCTATAGCTGAGCACACAATTCCCTTGTATCCTGGAGCTAAGCCAGTGAAATAGAAGAGAAGAAGGTTAAGACCGAAATAGGCTAAGAAAATTAAAAAGGAAGTGACCAAGCAGATAGATGCAGGATTTCTTGAAGTGGTTCACTATCTGGAATGGTTGGAAAACATAGTCCCAGTTCTTAAGAAAGACGAAATGGTCAGAATGTATGCAGACTACAGGGATCTGAGTAAAGCATCATTGAAGGATGATTTTCCTCTCTCACATATATTGATATCCTGATTGACAATGCAACAATAATGGGATGCTATTCTATCATGGATGGATTTACAGGATATAACCAGATTCTTTTGGCATTACTAGACAAGGTTACAGCATTTGTGACAGAGTTTGGTACCTTCTGCTATCGGGTAATGCCGTTTGGATTAAAAAAACCCTGGGGCTACTTACCAAAGGATGGCTACTACATTATTTCATGACATGATCCACAAGGAGTTAGACATGTATATCGATGATATGATTGACATGACGAAGACACCGGAAGAGCATCCAACAGCCCTAGAAAAGTTCATGAACAGAGTGATTAAATATAAGTTACGGTTAAACTCGAAGAAAACATGTGTTTGGGGTAACTTCCGAGAAAGTTCTAGAATTCATAGTAGGACCTAAGGGAAAAGAGATCGATTTAGATAAGATTAAGGCGATCCAAGAAATGGAGCCGGCTAAGACAAAAAAAACAAGTGAGAAGCTTTCTGGGAAAAATTCAATATATCAGTAGGTTCATATCGAAGTTGTCTATAGTATGTGATCTAATCTTCAAGCTTTTAAGGAAAGATTAGCCAGTAAAGTAGAACGATTACTGCCAGATAGCTTTCAGCAAAATCAAGAAATATTTATCAAGTCCCCCGGTTTCGTGCCCACCAAAGCCAGGAAAACCCTTAATTCAGTTCTTGACAGTGGAAGATGCTGGAATTAGAGCCATGTTAGTATAAGCTGATGAAGCCGGTGAAGGTAGTGTATTACTTAAGTAAGAAGCTTCGTCCAAATGAATAGAAATATAACTTGATAGAAAGAACTTGCTTAGTGATGGTATGGGCTACTAGAAAACTTCGGCGCTATTTTCAGTATTATAAAGTGATAGCAGTATCAAGAATGGATCCGGTTAGATATCTATATGGCACACCAGCATTAGTTGGGAAAATAGCAAGATGGCTAATTCTACTATCAGAATTTGATATTGAATATGCCACAAAGAAAACCGTCAAAGGACGAGCAGTTGCAGACTTTCTAGCAGCACATCCAATTGAAGATAGTGAATAGTGGGAGATTGATTTTCTCGATGAACATTTGAGTTTGATAGAAAAGAAAGGATGGAAGCTCTACTTTGATGGTTCAGCAACATTTGAGTTTGATAGAAAAGAAAGGATGGAAGCTCTACTTTGATGGTTCAGCTCATAGTAAAGGAGCCGGAGTAGGCGTCTTGCTAGAATCTCCAGAAGGAGAAGTTATGTCGATGTTGAAGAGGTTACAATTTGCAATCACGAATAACATGACAAAATATGAAGCCTTCCTATTTGGGTTGGAAGCTCTGATTGTAGTTAAAACTAAAGAAGATGAGATTGTTGGTGATTTGAAACTGGTCATTGAGCACGCTAACGGCAATTGGGAAGTTAAAGAGGATAGGATGAAGCCATATATTGACCATCTGCATGTTGTTGTTCAAAACTTCAAGAAGGTAACCTTCACACATACAAGCAGAGTAAACAACCGAGTACTAGATGCCTTGGCTAACTTAGCATCAGCTTACTTTAGCAATCAGCTTGGGAAGATATTTTCGGTAATGCCTAAAGAAACCGTTTTGATGTCTTCGGGTAGCATTCCGTGTTATGAAAGGCAAAAAGATTATGGATATTGAAGGAGGAAGAGAAGCCATGTTTGTCATGATGTCTTTGCAGTGGATGATAAAGAGGGTTTTATCCAAATCAGCTACTAGAGATTGAACAAAAGGAGTTATACAGCATTTAGCATTATAATTTAGCAGTTTTAAATGGCCAATTGTACAAAAGAACGTTAGACGGGGTATTGTCAAGAATGTGTATCCAGGAAAGAAGCTGAAAGGGATCATGGAATAGATCCATGCAGGGGTTTTGCGACACCCCATGAACTGAAAAAGTGCTTTGCTAAGAATAATTCTTAAACATGGTTTCGTTTGGTCAACAATTGGAAAGTATTGTATTTCTTTTGTGAAAAGGTGCTTTGAAATGCCAAATTCCATGGAGACTTGAGTTAATTCCGTCTTAGAAATTATAATCCTTTTATTTCGCCATGGCCATTTGCCAGCTTGGGGAATAGATATCATTGGCTAGATTTCGCCACCGTACTTCTAATGGACACAGAGTTTAATAGTGGTTGCAATAGACCTATTTTTCAAGATGGGTTTGAGCTTAGTCATTTAAAAACAATAGGCGCCAAATCAAAATGGCGCAAATTTATTGAAAAAAAGGAAAAAAACCTGAATCCTGTAGAATGGAATTCCCCATCATGTTGGTGATAGACAATAGAGTTCAATTCCAAATAGCAGAAGTGAAAATGCTATTAGAGAAATTATGAAATCGAACAACTATAAGTCTTCACTTATAGACCACAAAGCTAAATGGGGCAGGTGGAGGCTGAAAACAGAAAACATTAAGAAGAAATTAAGGAAGATGGCAAAAAATCCACTGTGATTGGCTAGTAAAAACTATAGTATGGCTTTATGGGGATCCCGATGTGAATGGGGCAACCCCTTACTCTCTAAGTCTACAAATGGAAAGCTATACTACCAAAATCTGAGATAGAAGTGCAGTTCTTACGCATAAATGATGGAATCAAAGATTCCTAGAATGTCCAATGGGTAGAAAAACCACTATCAAGAATTAGCACTCCTTTGATGGAAAAAAGGCCTTGAATGCGCGCTTCAATGGGCCAATCGTACAAAAGAAGGATAGTTAACGGCACTTCAACAAGAGAGTTCATCTGAAGCTACTTAAGAAATAGGGGATTTGGTTCTAAAAATAAATACGGCCAAACACTCATGACCCGAGGGGGAAAGTTTTCAAAGCCAACTGGGAAGGCCCATTTTTATCAAGAGGAATGTTTTTCCCAAAGGTGCAGTGAAGCTATCGATCTGGAAGGCAATGAGTTTACTGGACCAGTCATGTGGATAGATTGAAGAAATTTTTATGTGTGCTTC